TTGTTAGCTACTTCACTTGGAGGGAAGACGAGGAGGATGGGTGCCTGATGAAGGCTCATACCCAACTGATTGTTCTTTATTATTGTAGATGGCGCGATAGAGCGCGCGGCATATTTGAACTCGTAACAACTTCCCCCTGATGAGAAATGCTTAGATCGCGGTCTTAAAACTCATCTTCCATTGACTAGCGAGTCTGACTAAGAACAACAGATGACCCTGACTTTAGGAGTCATATCGTTGCGGAGGGACACCCTTTGTGCTTCGATTCGATTGTCGACGGACTTCGGAAGCTCCTACAAGTATTTTTCTCCCATGATCTAATTTCTCGTTCACACTATTCCTATTATCACAATTATTTTCATCACAGTCCAACTGCTCGTCTTCAACACCTTCGCCGATGTCGAAGAACTCGTCGTCTCCTGAGTCTTCCCCCCGCTCATTGTCTACATCACAAATGAACGGCAGTAGGGATCCTTTTTCGTTGTTCGGGAAACTCGAATCCTTATGACGTCGGCGAATCTGCTCGAAGTGTCGTTTCCATATACCATTCGGAACTTCTACTTCGCAGATCCTGGTGCCACAATTTTTCGAGATTTTTCCTGGAACCCATTTCGGTCCTGCCGAGTGATAGTTTCTTGCCATAACCGTTTCTCCCACGGCGAATTTCGGAGGTCCGCTTGCTTCGACCCTTGACGGTTTTTCTTTCAGCAGGTCCAGCTTCGATCTCAGTTCTCGATTGAGCATGCGTGCGGCCGGGCTGAAGCCCGTGGCGCTGGGCATCATGTGCTGTCTGTACAAGAATAGCGAAAGGCTTGACGCGAGATTACCGGATTCCGATGATAGCTTCTTCAAAGCTGTTTTCATTGACCCGACGTAGCGTTCTACCTGACCATTTGAGGCTGGGTGATACGGCGGAGAAGTCATGTGTCTTATGCCGTTTACTTCGCAGAAATTGTTGAACTCCCCCGACACAAACGTGGGGTCGTTGTCCGTAACCATGACTTGAGGTATTCCGAACCGTGCGATCGTTTCTCGAAGATGGATCAGAGTAGTTGCCGTAGTTTTGTTCGGCGTTATGAACGCTTCCAGCCATTTGCTGAAGGCATCGACTATCAGTAAGATGTATTTGCCTTGAACTGGGCCAGCGTAATCCAAGTGAATTCTTTGGAAGGGGGTCGCCGGTGGTTCCCAATTGTGAATCACTTCTCTTGGAGGGTTCCGAGCGTGCGTGAGGCACGCTGTGCATGACAGGGTTATGTTGGCGATATCTCTGTCTATGCCGTGCCACCACACGTATCGTCGAGCCAGGCTTTTCATTTTCTCAGAGCCGTAATGGCCCTCGTGAAGTTCCTTGAGTATCTTCTGACGGCAGGTTTTCGGGACGACGACTCTGTGCCCTCTCAAGATGACTCCGTCGTGGTATGTGCTGAACTCACAGAGGTCGATTCCGAAGTGTTTTGAATTCCGATGCGATTGCCCAGCTGCTTGGAGCTTTAGCCACAGCGGTTTCAGTTCCTCACAGGTTCTCGTTTCTTTGGCAATTATTTCGAAACGCAATGGTGTGTCCTGAATCTGATGGACGACAAATTCATTGATGAGATCGGGTGCTATGGGCTGCTCGTTCTGGAGCGGCAGCCTAGACAACGCGTCAGCGTTTCCGTGCAATCTCGTTGACCTGTATACGATATCGAAGTTGAAATTCGTGAGGAACACAGCGTAATGCTGCATACGGGTCGCTGACAATGGAGGCAAGGATTTGTCGGGGGCGAAGATTTGAGACAATGGCTTCGAGTCCGTAACTAGAGTGAACTTTCGACCAAATATGTAGTAGAAAAATCTTTCGACTCCCACCTTAATTCCTAACGCCTCCTTGTCTATCTGGCTGTATCGCTTTTCCGTTTCCGTGAGCACTCGGGAATAGAACGCAATGGGTCTTTCCGACTTGTCCGGGAATTGATGAGAAAGAACAGCCGAAATGCCGTATGGAGATGCATCTGTCGCCAGAATGATAGGTTTCTGAGGGTCAAACGGCACGAGTATCCGAGGTGAGCACAACTCTTGCTTCACCCTTGCGAACGCTTCTTCCATCCTGTCGGACCAAACGAATTTGACCGTGGACTTCAGAAGAGAGTACAAGGGAGCTGCAATGTCGGCGAGCTTTGAAGCAAAACTCGCATAGAATTGGATCATACCAAGGAATGATCTGAGCTCTCCGACGTTTTTTCGGAGATGGCGCCTGCCTGATCGCTTCTACCTTCTCGTTGCATTTCTGGATTTCCTGGTGCTTCAAGCGAAACCCGCAATACGCTACGGATTCTTCGAAGAATGCGCATTTATCGGGGTTGAGTCTGATGTCGTTCTGGTCGAGTCGGGCCAACACTGATTCCAACCTTCTCAGATGCTCATCGTCTGTCGGGCCCGTGACGATAATGTCGTCCATTACGCATTCTACTCCTTCGATTCCCCCGAGGATGCCTTCGATAAACCTCTGCCATATCGCTGGGGCGCTTGCAAGCCCGTTTGTCATCCTGTTGAATCGGTACAGTCCACGGTGTGTGTTTACTACCAGAAATTTCCGATCGGCTTCTCGGACTGGCATGTGCAAGAAGGCCGAGAAGATGTCGAGCTTCGAGAACTTTGACCGTTCCCTATATTGTCAAGCGCATGACGGATGTTCTTGAGCGGATGCTCATCGATTCGAATGTGTCGATTTATGCCGGCTTTGAAGTCTCCACAAATTCTGACCTTACGGCCCTGAGCTCTCGGTACGATTACCATTGGATGGGCCCAATCGCTTGCGTTGACTCTTTGTACGACTCCGTTCTTCTCGAGGAAGTCGAGTTCGTTGTTGGTCATTTCTATGATCGCGTGTGCGACTGGTCGAGCTCTGGCGTAGAGGGGTTTCGGCGATTCTGTGGTCAGTTCCAGCGTGGCTTCTGTTGATGGAATACAACCTATGCCAGGCTTGGTCAAGTTGCCATACTTTTTGAGTAGGCTCTCTGCTTTTTCTTTGAAGTCTCGTGGCGTTGTATCCGTAGCTTGTTTGCAGTTATGAACACTCTGGGTGTTGAGCAATGATGTCCAGTCGATAGGGAGCTGACGAATCCAGTCGCGTCCCATCAGCGTCGGGAAGACGGCCTCTCGCATGAGATACAAGCGTAGAATTTTTGTTACGCCCTTGTAAGAAACTTCGACCTCCGCGTACGAGTGCGGTTCGAAGTTCTCTCCGGTAGCTGTCTTCAGGCAGAGGTCATTCTTCTGTAGCCGGTGTTTCGGTGCGATCGAGCGGAAAGCATCCAATGTCATTGTGGAGATTCCGCTTCCCGTGTCGATTTCCATGCTGACATCGCGTTGGTTCAACGAGACTGTTACGAATAAGGGCTCTTTAGAGGTGACATGATGAAATGGGGTTTCTTCGAGGAAATTCTGAGATTGCGTATTTTTTGTACAGACTCGTCTCAGATGACCGATTTTCCCGCATCCCTTGCATGCCACTGATTTGAAGAAGCATTCAGGAGCCAGGTGATTTGTATTTCCACATCGAAAACAGGCAGTTCTGTTTTGCCTTGCCGAAGGAATTTTGCTGCCTCGCCGCAGACGATTGGCTTCGACGATGAGTATTCGGTTTTCGGTGTCGTTGCTTGTTGAAAAGCTTGTGAACTCCATTTGGGTTGAAGTCGTTGGGAGGTGCCGAACTTACTTTCTGCACGCTCGCGAAATTTTCCGACATCTCGAAAACCTCTGACAGCTTGTTCAATTTTTCGGCTTTCATCAGAAGAAATTGTCTTGCTCGGGTATCGGCCAGTCCTCGGATAAACTGTTCTATGAGATTATCCTGCAGGCATTTCGGATCCCAATGGCAATCGATGCTTGACTTTCGCAACCGGCCCTCGAATTCCAGCAATGACTCAGCATTGTTTTGTCGTAACTCTCGAAACTTACTTCGTGATGACCAAACATTGAGTTCTGGTTCGTACACCGTTTTGAGGATCTTGGTGATCTCTTCGTAGGGCAGACTTTTGACTTGCCGCTCCGGAAACTTTATCATTCAGTTTCCGGAAAGTCCTCGGATCCCATGTAAGCTAAGAGCGCACATTTTTCCTTTCGGGATCTGTCACTTGATGATACTCCAGATGATTCTGAAGCCGAGTCTCCCACAGCGTCCAAGTTTCCGAGCTCGAGCAGAATTCTGGAAAATATCCTGGGTTCGTTTGCGCTTGCGCCATACTGTCGGAGGTCGATGGTTTTTTTCGTGAGCTTGGTTTCTTCGATTTGATTTCTTCTTCGTTGATTTTTCCCGAATGTTCGCGATGAATCACTGTACACTCTCACAGTTTTTTTTTTTTCATCCGATCTTCGTCGCCAAATTGTTAGCTACTTCACTTGGAGGGAAGACGAGGAGATGGGTGCCTGATGAAGGCTCATACCCAACTGATTGTTCTTTATTATTGTAGATGGCGCGATAGAGCGCGCGGCATATTTGAACTCGTAACAGAATCGGTGGAGCAGATCTCCCTCTCCTGGTTATAAACGAGAGGCTTGTTTCGCTTCCAAGTCGAACTGCACTTCCGATGGAAGACTCACGGCCTACGTGGGTGGGGGATTCCATGTCAACAGCGATTTCCAGATTTTCCAAGGGTGAGAAGGAAGTCCCTGCCCAGGGAGGGAATCGAATACCATCCTTAAAAAAAACGAGGAAAGACGAACGCGGGCACAATGCTACGAGTCGATCAGTCTCCTGAGGAGAGGATTCCGATCGGGTGGCGGTGATTGACGGCTGAGTCCATGCCTTACCGGTGTGGAAAGAGGGTGTCGATTCGTGTGCCTCACGTGAAACGTGCGAGGTCTCAACGACCACCCTCTCTCGTACGAAAGTCTGACTGGATTAACAGCTGGGTTCTCGAAACGGAAAAAGAGAATCGCTCGAGAAGTTTTTATCGGTACGCTATGAGTTCGCCTAGATGCTCAAGCCACTTCTCTACTTCAGCCCTCGGCATCGATATGATGATCCCGGAAGACGCCCAGAATGAAGTTCTCGAGCAGCGAGACTCAGCTGTGGATCTCGAAGCCTTCGTGGAACAGGACACTCGTGAGGTTCGGAGCAACGGCACCGTCAGGCAGTCGTCACACGCGTAAGTAGAGCGTATACTTGGACTGATCTATGAGGTCTCAAGGTCTGCAAGCTTCATGAATGGCATCGATGCCTCAAGCCACTTGTCCCGAACAATGGGGATCCTTCATTCGCTCCATTTGTCGCTAGCGTGTGCCAGTACTCGTACCCTTCATCTAGACCCGAAAGGAAATTGACTTCTGAAATTATCAGGGCCCTGAGCGGACCTTACGGATTCGATTCTTTCTTCGAAAATACTATAGTCCCATAAGCATCCACTGAGTTTTCCTCACTGCAGGGCGAGTGCCAATGATCTTCTCGAACGGCTCCACATAGACAATGCAACAGCAACTGATGGGAGCCGATGTGATACAGGGATGCCTACCTACGTTGATGAGGCTTCCATGATAATGGCCGTCGCTCTCATCAAAGACGCACATCATGGCATTCAGAGCGAATTCAAAATGAATTTAGATTCGGTAAGATTATCATACAGATCTCGATATTCCTTGATAGAGCCTCAACATCGATGAGAGTGAAGCATATACCGTGTGGAACACAATTCGAGCGTAGTTGTTTGGCTCCGAATAATTAACTTAATCACCTAATTCGAGAAAAATTATCAACTTGCTCTAATATATTGGGGGTTGGATTTGAATGTGCTCAGTGGAAATAATCCTCGCTGACACCCAGCGAATAGATGCGGCAGTCAGCAAAGAGATTCGGATGGCGCATTGAGTATCTCGGAGAGACTAGAACTTATCCGGTTCGATGAAATCGACGAGAGGCTCGGATTCCTCTCACTCAGATACTCGTTTCGCGGATGGGTGTGTTTGCTGCGACCGGTGCGAGTGGGAAGAAGGAGGGGAAAAATAGAGCTCTCGTGTTGTAGTCGTGGCTGCCACGGTCGGTCGCGGTATCCGCGCCTGCCATTCCGCCCTCAGATGTTAGTGGATTGGACAGCATCTCATCGACCGTGATTATTTTCAGGTACGAAGCTATAGCATATACAACCAGTTCGTTCTTCGGATACTGACGTATTTCTTCATCTGCATCCACCACGCCCTAATCTTCTTTGAAAGCCCAATAGATAACGGCTTAACCCTGCCATATTACGTGACGATGATGCTCGAACTATGTTGTATAGCCTACTACGTATTCCGACTGGTGCACTACTCAACTTTCGTCGATAAGCAACGCTTCTTCAGTGACACGAAGATCCGGATGAACCTTGCCCTCATCGGGCTCATAATCATCGACCTGATTCAATACACGATCGCGATCAAGTTGAACGGTTTCTCGCGTCGCTACACCCGAGTGCTACGTCCGCTATTCATTATCAACCTGACAGAAAACAAACAGATTCGTCGAGCCGTACGCAACATTCGAAGAACTTTGCCAAAGGTCGTTGACGTTCTCATCTTGTTTCTTCTGACGATGTCGATTTTCGCTCTGGTTTCGCTGAGATTGTTCAGCGCCAAGGGGATCAAGAGCCCTGACGGAACGCCATATTTCACCGAAGGCTTCTTCGAGAATTTCTACCAGCTTTACGTTCTAGTTACGTCAGCGAACAACCCCGACGTAATGATGCCGGCGTACGCGCAGTCGCACTGGTATGCCATATTCTTTTTCGTCTACCTGCTGGTGTGCATGTACATTTTTCTCAACATCATCTTGGCCGTCGTCTACAACAACTACAAGGAGCATCTCAGAAACGAAGTGTGCTCGATGGTCATCGAGCGCCGGAAGAACCTTCGGAAGGCCTTCGACCTTCTGACAGCGACGCAGAACTCCTCGAACAGATACATTACGTTCGAGATTTTCCAGAACGTCCTCAACAGGATCGGAATTCGCAAAGGCAAAACGGTCCTAGACATAATGTGGTCCGTTCTCGATACGACGGACAGTCATCGGGTCGAACGAGAAGACTTCGCTGCGATCACCGAACTTCTGTCACTTCGATTTACGCAGAGTTTCCGGCGGAAAAGTTTCTTCGAAATGCGCTTCCCCGATTCCTACAACTCATCCCTGTCGCTAGCTTTCCGTAGAGTGGTTCAGAGCAAATGGTTCCGGTACACGTTCGACTGTTTGATTGTTGTAAACGCGTTTCTGTTGACCATCGGCGATGGCAGCCAATTGGAAATTCTGTTCCTTTTGGCTTTCGTGTCGGAGATCTTAGCGAAGATGTACACTTTCGGTTTCCACAATTTCTTTAACAAAAAATGGAACGTATTCGATTTCGTGATCATCGGTGCGGCGCTACTGGGTAGCATAGTCGAATCAGTGATGAGTGGCTCCGGCGATGATTATAAGTCGTTTGTTGATATAATTTTAGTCGTTCGATGTCTCCGTCTAGCGAAGATCATGAGCTCCATCGAGCGGTTCCGTGTCATCCTCACGACGATTGGTCGATTGCTGCCGTCCATGGCGACTTTCGCAGGCATTCTATTCGGTGTTTATTACATGTTTGCCATAATTGGTTTGGAGCTCTTCGCCGGGAAAATCAAGGAAGAGGAACCAGATTGCGGAGATCATCGCTTGAACGGGTCAACGTTCGTGACGAGTCGGTACTGCGCGAACAATTTCAACGATGCCGCATCGGCCTTCATTTTATTATTCGAACTGATGGTGGTCAATCAGTGGCACGTCTTGGCTGAGGGATTCGTCCTGGTCACCAGCAAGTACGCTCGTGCGTACTTTGTCATATTCCACATGACGTGCGTGATATTAGTCATGAACATATTCACGGCCTTCGTCATCGAAGCTTTCATCCTCGAAATCGGAACGACGAGATCAACGGTCGAGAGTCGAGTTGTAGAGAAGATCGAGGAATATGAAAGGCGTCGCTGTGAGGAAAGTGGTTGTAATCGTGCTCGTGCAGCTCCAGACAGCCGGGACAGTGACGACAGCGACCACGAAGATATAGATTTTACCGGGACGACCTGCAGAAATCATGACGTTAAACTGAAATATAAGAAAAGTACTCGCTTCGAAGACCTTCTCATGCGTATGTTCAACGACGAAGTCGATGTCATTAAGCTCAACGAGAGCCTCAAGAGTTGACTCAGGTGACTTCCCCGAGCGGATTATTATATAATTAATTTTAGGACAAAGCTCCTTGAATAGAGCTCCTCATGCTCCATCAATGACAAATTACGTTGCCATGCTGACAAACTAGAGTTTCGGAGCGAATTTAATTCCTCCCCATGTACATAATATGAGTGTCTAAATATTCCGAGTGGGACAGAGAGTTTTAAGAGATGAGTGTTCGCTCTCAAAATGCTTTAAAAAGGTTTTTCACGTCTTAGCGGATACTCATGACTCAGTTCTGATGTACGTTTCGAGTAATAAATCGAGATGAAGACGAATTTCTTTTATGCAGCGAATCGTTTCCTTCCACGATGCCTCGGCATCGATTGCCTGCCAATATTGTCCCGGAACGAATTTCGAAGACGTGAAAAAGGCCTCAACGACCGCGGCAGCATCGAGTTGCAAATGTGGAAGCTTCGCGGGGACTCGGGGATTTGTTTTCGTTTATTTCTCTCCCGTCGAGCTCGGCATACAGATGCTGTGGATGCAGATAGCGCGACGGCGGAGACATGGCGACAGCGATGGCGAATAGATTCTGTCAAGGAGGACGAGTCGGAAAAGCTACCGAATCGGAAAAAAAAATCGGAGATAAAAGAGAGTGAGGACGCAAACTGAGAGTCATCGAGAACGGAGGGGGAGCCGAACTCTCGCACCGTTGGTGCCGATGGGGACGAGTCTTGAAGACAAGATGAGGGAAACGACGCGGAGCAAAGGATGAGAGCGCCACCGAAAACCCAATACATTATTTTGACGATGCGAAAAGCTTACAAATTGCAAATTATCTCTCTTCGCTTGTTTCGATCTTTCCCTCTTTTTTCCTTGATCGTGTCTCCTTCAGAGTTTCACACTTGTAGCAGCGACTCGGTCCCTTTTGTGTGGAGTCTTGGAGAAGATTCCAGGCGGAACCGTACGTTCAGCTGGGAGAACCGTGAGCGGCCACGCTGGGGGCAGCATGGAAGAACTGTATCGAGCTGGAGGAAAATCGGGACCCGGTCTAGCGTAATAGGATTGACGCTCAGTCTGCCCGGTCAATGCTGGCCGATACTTCAATGCCAGTATCATTTTCCGCCCAGACGGGTTCTCCTTGGAATTCTGCTGATGATTTGTTTTGTGTGCGATGGAGAAGCCGGCATCTGAGAGAGAAGGCACACAACCTGCAAAGGCTCCCAGGGCTGCGTCGATCCAAAGCCTTCGTGCTGATCTGTCCGGAAGTAGGTATACTTCATTCGACGGACCCAACCCCCGTGGTTCCACTAGGACGATCTCTTCCAACTCGCCGCTTGCGTGAGAAACTACATCGGAGCTTCGATTCCCTTTCAAGGTCCTCTGTTCGGATCGTGGGACCAGTAGCGTATGAAGGGCCACAATACCGCCTCCGTATTGAGCTTGTAAATTGAGGTCTATGGGGATAATCATCATCATCATGATTCCCCCAAAAACATTGCTGGGCCCTCCCGAAAAAACATCCTATATACGCTCCTGCGTGGGACCTGCATATTTCCACCGCTGATGCGAATGGACATTCCACTCGACAGTCCTCGGGAGAGCCTTCAACGAGATTCCGACGGAAGCCTGGACCAGAGCCCACACAGGAACTCTTATAGGCAGCTCCCGATGGAGACGTTGCCTCATCTCCGTCGTTTCACCTGTGTTCGTTCAATTCTGAGCGAAGGGTGAGCGAGGAATAGCTCAGTTTCGCGTCCAGCCCTAATCTCCACGTCATGACAGCGCGGTCAATTCACCGACGGATGCAGTCAGGCCTGCAAAAAAGCAAATAGTACGATGTAGTAGTTGACGATGACGAGCCTGATTAGTGCTACAGTTCTCTTCGTCCTTGGACTTTCCATGTTTCTGACTAAGGGTCAATCAGAAATCCAAAGCCCGACCGAAAAAAAAACTCGCCCGCAACCCTCGTCCTTCAGCTCATGGGTCCCGGACTGAGACGATCGACTGAGAGGCGCACGGGAGATAAATAGCGCTTCCAGCCATATCTCTGGACTCACTATGCGTACCCCTCACTCATCCGCTGTCAGTTTTTCAGCAAACGATTCCTTTCAATAGAGTAACCACGGTTGAGAACCCACCCCTGTGAAGTCATCGTGAAGATCCATCGCAGGGGTCAATCCCTGTTTCCCGATTCCGCTTGCCGGCACCTGAGATGAAAGGAGTGTGGTCCTGTGGTACAGCGTTGCGGGGTCGTGTGGGGTATGGGTATAGACCAATGAAGCCGTGAACCATTTATACGCAGAGCTATTTTCTCCAAGTCACACTAATTCCTGAAAACTATCTCAACGTCATCGTCAGACCAAGACTGACACTCGCTTAAGAAGGAAGGTACGGGATGATACGATAGAGTTCCCTCGCATTGAGAGGGAGACGTGATCCGATGCTCGAAGCAGAAACGTTTCATCCAGCCATCGATCGATACGCGAAAATGGATACATACGTATGTACGTATGTTTGCATATTGTGGAGAAGGGTCGGATTTCTAATGGAACGAAAATACTGGTGAGTAGCGGGAGAACTCGGGCGAGTTTAGACTCCGACAGCGATGATCTCTATGATTCCGCTTCACGGCGTAAAGTAGTTCTGCGAACCGCAGAGGAGCCCAGGGGATGAGGACATTATACGATGACAAGAGTACTTTGATGACGTATTCAAGACTCTATTGTGCCATCGTCTCTCCCTCTCATTCTCTTGTTTTTGCGGTGTGCGCCTCTCGATGGCAGCCCGGGGGCTCGGAGAGAAACCCAGGGGTTAGCGGGACGGCGGATGGATGGAGCAGGGCGAATGCCGGCCCTCGAAATGGACGAACAAAGTCGCTACCGTCATTGCTACCGCGGTCGTCGCCGCCGCCGCCGCCGCGAAAAGATGTTCGCGACGACGACGACATTTGTGTAATGTTCCTTTAACGACCTTCGAGAGTTGAATCTTGCACTCACTTCCTTTATCTCCTTGTGCCTTTCTGTCGCCGCTGCCAACAGACCGAGAGGGGATACGCGCGCCAAAGCGAGACAGATAGCGAGAGAAGACAGCGAGAGCGATTGTCGTATGTGAGCCAGTAGTTTTGTTGAGATGGCCCTGCTTGGTTGGTTGAGGTTGGTCGAGAGTCCTCCTAAAGTCGTTCGCAGTCGGTCCTCTCCCGCTTTTCGAGCGCGGGGCGGAGCGGAGGCGGAGCCCGAGCGCCAGCCTGTCTATCTGCTCGCTGGCCTGGCTGGCTGGCTGGCTGGCGGGCTCGCCGCCGCCGTCCGGAGTTGTCGAAGAGGAGGAGGTTCCCTTTTCTAGATGACTGGCTCGTCGGCCGTGTGTCGGAGACTCTGTGCTGTAAGTGTTCAGTTACTCTCGCGCTTGCCTCCTTCACTTCCTCTCGCCCGATCCCGCCGTCCTCAATCTCTCGGTTGGTCGGTCGGCCGCCCTCCTCGGAAGGAAAGAGAGAAGCAGGCTCAGCTCGATTCGACAACGACGACGACTCGATTCGATTATTATTATGTTGTTCCACTCGAAGAATTGAGCTGAGCGCAACGCGTGTCTTCGACAAGCACCAGACTCACAAACGAGCGATAAAGCGACCGAGCAAGTCCTCGTACAGAAGTCGCTCTTCACTTGCTGTGCGCGATCACTGCTTCCGTCCGCTCGGAGACAGAAACCACGAGACTCGAGCGGGCTTCCCGGACAAGGTTTCAGTGTTGACGAATTGTCGTCGAAATTCTCGCGAAGTGTTCCTCCCTCTCTGCTGTTCGCGGGTCCGGACGTCGGAGAAGTCCGACCGGGAGCTCCGCAGTGTTCGAGGAGATCCGTAGGAATTTCGAACCGAATACCCGTGCTCCTCCAGGACTCGACCGAAGCACCACGTGATCCCAAGACATACGGTGCTTCTCCCGGAAAACCGTGAAAATCCTCTCTTCTCGTAGAACAGCAAATTCGATGCTCCTGATGGGAACGAACACGCAATCCGCGGTTCCTGCCCCTCCACCGAGCGGAGGTCGACCTCCGAGCCCCGTGGCATCGGACGCCGAAGAACCCGAGGTGACCGTCGATGACGACGATGACAACTCGAACTCAGTGAAAACGTCCCCGTCCCCAATGAAGTCTTCGGCGTTCTCGATCAGTTCGCTTCTGTCGAATACCACCAAGTCAGCCGAAAGTGCAAGTCTAGCAGCCATGGCGCAGCAGCAAGCAGCAGCCGCCGCCGCCGCTCTGTTCCTGAACGCTGCAACGGCGGCCGATCCGGATCAGCAGGCGGCAGCTGCCCGTCTGTATTGGGATGCGCAATTAGCTGCGCTTCGCCCACAGAGTGCTCTTCAGGCCGCAAGTCTTTTCCCCACGATGGTTGGTCTACTCCAACAACAGCAGCAACATCATCAACAACAACAGCAGCAACAACAGCAGCAGCAACAGCCCCGGAAACCCACTGCCTGGTATCCGTGGATCCAAGGTCAGATTTCTCCGAGAGACTGCGCAGCGGGAACAGGTGAGTTCTGCCCCGAGACAGACTTGTCGACGCTTTTGTCAATTTCCAGTGTCAAAACGGCACTCCTCCCATTAACTCTAGAGAACATACGATTTGAAAAACGAAAAATCCCTTCCAACATCCCCATTGTAGAGCTTCTGCTAAGGTGCGGGGAATGGCCTAGACTACTGGAAGCTGAAAAACTTCCGGGGGCCTCAGCTTGCGAACGAAGCTCGACCTCGTTGCGTAGCCCGCGGACGGGGCTGACTCTTTGAGCTGGAGTAGAATGATCTGATTGCGAGTGGGCTTGATCGTCGATGCCGGTTACTTCTTTTCGGAAACAATTACAAGTGGCAGCTCAAACGGTCGTGCATTAATCACGCCGGAAGACACACTCGGCTTAGGACCAAGAAAATACCCAGAGGACCTCCAATCCTCGTTGTCGTCGTCCTCTATACCCTTCTCGTCGTCGCCGCCGCGCTCCTTCTTCAACTCATCGTTCGCCGACGTCGGTCTTCGTGCCGCTCCTCTAAATCCGAGTCGACCGAACCAAAGCGAGCGGAGGCAACTGAGTCGACAGAGCCAGAGAGGGGCTGACCCCAAGCGCACTCACTGAATTCAGTGCGCAAATTATTCATCGTAAGCTCTCAGACGATCTGCTGAATCGTTGCTTGCCTTTAAGACACAAACCGAACGTACACTGAATCATCCCCGAATTATCCTACACAGCGCTTAGCCATGGCGCGCTCTCGACGATATCATTGTATCTTGTATCGTATCAAGTCTCAGGACCGCTTTGAGGAGAGTTCCGACATTTCGACCCACGGTCGGAGTACTGTCGGGTTGTTTATTCCAATCAGACTGGTTCGGGGCGGGGGCGAGACCGAGCTGCACCATATTTATTATTCACCCGTAAAAGAGCCGTATCTCCCGCTCTGATAGTTCCGCTAATCGCGGACGTTATCACGGGCCGTCGGACGGCTATGCGGTATCTCTTTTGTCCATACGTTTTGCTCTGAGCCAATTAATATCGCATCTATCGCTGCATCTGCCAGAGGCGCTGACGCAAACGATGGTCGTGAATGGCTCCTGATTACGCTCCGGGTATGAGTTCCATGAAAACAGTCCCAATGGATGGGGATCGTCGGGCGAATATTGCTCCCAGTTGGGCATTTCAATGAGCTCAGCTTCGGGGGTAATCACTGTTAGCTCTCCGCTCAATTCACCGACATACGCTGCACGGTGGAGCATCATTGCATTTACTGCTCGAGCTTCGACCACATGTGGAGAACAGGAAAGGAGAACTCTCCTCGGATGACGCTTCGCTCAAGGTACCGAAAGTCTTCATCCTTTGTTGCGGCGGCCGCTCATCAGACTCTATCTCTCGGGCTCAGATGTCGAACTCCAGCGATTCGAGCAGGAATTCGGCTGAGCGGTGCTGTCAATAGCTTTCGTGATTCGGTCCGGCACTCTTGGGTCAGTTGAGTTTCTCTCGGCATTTTCCTCGGCGGGAATTCGACTTTCATTGCTCCCGATAAAAACCGGGCCAATCACAGGAGCCGGAAGCGGAATTTCCCAGAGGGAAGGGATCAAACCTCGGGCCTACAGCTCCGCGAAGCCGCCGACACCACCAGCAGGAACTGATCAGGCTCTCTCCTTGAGCGTCATGGAAGCTGTACTCGGGCAAAACTCAACGACGTTCCAGCCAAGAGGAATTATAAGACAATGTGGGACGTAGTCGCCTCCAGGCAATCATCAGGAGCCCCCAACCCCCACAGTGGTTGCTAAATACCGTTCCCGATGTTGAGACGGTGGAGGCGAAAAGACTGACCGGGTGAAGCCGGAACGCGAGCTTTAACGCTAAGTAAGCCGAGAACTAGGAGGGCAATCTCCTTCGATAGCCCTGTCCGCTTTGCTGGTGGCGATGAAGCGGCTTGTAGACGGGTTTATAGCAGCCCCGATTCCAAGGGAAGTATCCGGTCAGCTGAGCGAAGCTGGCCGGAAAAAAATCACTCTAGATCTTTCCTAACGGCCGATGTGCGGATATATTGGCCTCGAGAGCCACTTCCGCCGAAAAGAGGGAAGCTCGAGCTCAGTGCTAATTCGTCGCTTTCCCCGTCCGTGCGAGAAATCGATAATTGCGTGGACAGCAATGGGGTTTGTGCAAATTCTGACAGTTTCACGATCGGAGAGGAACCGTCGGATTTTCTCCAGAGACCAGAGCCCAACGAAGAAATCGGAGGCTCAAATATTGCGAGGTCTTCCATAGAAGAGATCGTCCCGGCAAGCCGGTCGAAGAGAAGCTCGTTGGCAGAGGCCAGCATCCGCCCAACCCTCATCAGAAGAGAGAACTGAGCGTTTTTTTCGGTCAAAGACTTGCTTCTCAGCGTTTCAGTTCGGCTCAACGAGTCCCCAAGGATGCCGCCGACGCGATTTTCCAGACTGCTGGCCGGCCGCAGGAGCAGGGAAAAGAGGGAAAAGAGAACTCGAGGCTTTTCAGAGTCCACTAAAGCCATGTCGTCATCGGAGATTTGAAGTCCAAAAGCGGTTTTCTCCATGAAGCGTCTTCGCGCGGATTAGGTTTCCTTCAAAGGCTGTTGTTGTTGCCATAGCACTCCCTTCGATTCCGATTTCGCGAAACGACGGCGCGGCGGCCCGTCTGGCCGCTTGCTCGACAAGCGCTCAGGAGGACTTTATTTTATCGAGGACGACCAGTAGGACGGAATCGAGAGAAAAATTCCATTCCACCATGCCACGCCCGGAAGAGCGGTGATCGGTGGTCAGCAGTCTCCTTATGCGAACGAGCTGCTCAGATTTTTCCCTACGGGATTCCGCAATGCTCTCCTAATGCCTCGGAATCTATTCACGATTTCACGCGAGCGAGCCGTAAAATAATCTGAATTGTGGTCATGCCTGGGGATGGAGATTACAGTCTCCCGGCTCAGTTCGAGCAAGAAACCGGTCATTGCGATGAAATTCTATAGCATTTGCAAAATGCGTCGTTTTGCTGTTTGTCATCGAAGCTCTTTTTGTCGTCCCCGAGGACTCCTGTCACTCCTGATGGATCTGAGTCAGTCTCTACTCACTCACTCGCCCAGACAGTCAGTCAGTCGGGCTCGGAGTTGAGATTGCAAAGCCAGATTAGCAAGTGCTCGCTCGTACGGCCGCGAGCGTCAGTACTTTGGCATGCTCTAGACAGACCCATATTGTCCTCCCTCTGTTTGTGGGTCGGTCTCGTCGTAGCTGCCGATAAAACTGTTTTCCCTAACTCAATCTACCAATCCACTCGGAGGTGACTGACGCTGCTGCCGCCGCGGCAAAGCGAAACGTTTTATGTCCCGCCGAGAGTTTTTCAAGAGACACCCACCGCGCGGACCAGCTCAGTCAGAGCTATACCTCGACTCCTGGAGGAGAGCCCGCAGTCGACGATCCATTAGGATCGTACAGTCGCCGTTCATCGTTATCCTAGTCCAATTATGCCGCAGCTATTCGTACGCAGCGTCGGATCCGAGAACATTCCTGGCCTTTTCAATTAGCTTTCGCTAAGATATCTACCGGTCAGTCGACTGCGAGAGAGGCTTTTGATCCTCTTCTCCTTCCCATCCTCCTGTTTTTCCTGTTCATCTTGTTTGTCGACCCACTCCGCACTGTCTCTTCAATGTGTAGGTCGGGCTCTCCTGTTGAGCCCATTACTCAAGAACGCGACGGGTGTCCAACTCCTCACTGTCGTCGTCGTCGGTCTCTTCCGGGCTCCCGCCCTAATGGATGACGTTTTAAATAGCGAAGCCACTCCGCAGGCATGAAGCCGCCATCCGAGAGTGTTTGATGCTCGCGACCTCTTCTCCTCGTTTAATTTCCAGTGGCGTTCGGTTCCTGCTCGAGCAATCGCGCCGATATGATGATCGTATCTGACTGCTCGGGGGGAACTCGGTGGAGGTAAGGGGCGCGTGCTCGAAGGCTACGCGTATCTACAGCAATAGTTGACTGTCGGTAAGATAAGGCTCCGGGTGGGAAGGAGACAACGGAGCATCCTCGGAGCTCGGTCCGATCAGACGAACCATCTGTCGTTGCTTGGCTTTCGCGCTCACTTTCCCTAGTCGATCAAGAAGAAACAAAGTATACGAAACATGTGAAATAGCTAGAGTAGGAGACTAAAGAGCGTTTTCGAGGAGCGTACAATCGAGAGCACGGACGAACAGGTCGTGATAGAGGGAGCGGCTAATGTGTGCATTGTTACACAGGATGGGTTGGGCTCTTTTGATTTTCCTCGTGATATCGTATACGATCGTCATTGCTCTCCGTGTGTCCCTCGAACAGACAGGCAGACAGCCAGTTAGTCAGTCAGTCATTGAGACCTCTTGCATTTTGTATCTTTTCCCGTTTGCCGTTCCGCTGAGGGTCGCAGCTTCGAATTTCGAAATTGAACGAGCAAGCGAGCGACCATGAGGCCACTAGCCGCATCTGGTGATGCCCCGCGTTCTGATAGCTTACAGATTAGCTCTGATTTTCTTTGCACCGAATTTCTTCTGCCTTCAGGTCAGAAATTCCGGGCACTAACGGTACGCAGCTCCGGGGGCGGAAAGAGCGCTCTTTACTCTGGCACAGGGTGACGCTGCCTGCTCGATGCGGAGTGAGCTCCGTGCGATCATGAGCGTCCAACGGAGCAGGATCGAATTTATTAAGGTGAAACACTCGAGAATTCGAGTATAAAAAGGAGGGCTGACAACAAGCAGGTGCAACAAGCAGGTACCCGACACCAACTCAAGCATCCGTTTTGTGGAGTTGGTTCACCCGATTATGAAGTGTTTGCATGTTCTTACATCAAACCGAGATCTTTTAGCCATTAGCGATGCACCCAACTCTTCCGAGCGGAAACCAGGGTAGGAACTGACATCACTGTTTGCACTTGTGCCCATCGAAGAGTGCTCTCCCTGCGAACGAAAAAATAAACGGGCCTACCCCAGCGAGCCGGCCCGAAGAGGATTCGAACATCGCGGCCGCCATCTGAGAGTCCGATAGTCAGTCAGTCAGTATTTCCGTCAGTCAGCCAGTCAGGCGAGCAGGCGATGAGGAAGAACGGAGGAAAAAGAGATGGTGTATGGAATCCGGATAGGCCGGAGTCTTCAGAAACCCCATGCTAGTGGATTCAGTGAGCGGAAAACACCGAATAGAGAGATAGGCCGACAGGCACTCGAATGATCCCCTGCCGCTAGATGCCAATGACTCCTCGCGGTTTGGGCACCACTTCACCTCATTACCCGAGGGATATCCATGGGCGAAGCCACACACGGATCGACACACGCGAGAACAGACAAACGCGCGCGGCGCCTCGCTCACATGCTCGCATGAACACAAGTATTTAGTTCCTGCACTTCTGAGCGCTACCCCCAGAAGGAGAGGAGGAGCGCCAATCTTTCTCTAGAGGCTGCTTAGCGGTCCGTCAAGATCCGACAAACAAGGTGTGAAACCTCACGACCTGACTGCAATACCTCCGGTTTCAGAAACATTTCGCTCAGCTGATCAATTAGCGTGCTGACCTCTGTACCGGCAGGAATTGTTCTCATCTCGTTTTCCCTGGGCGGAAAGACTGCTCGTGAGAATAGCCGAGTTCCTCGAGAATTCGATGGTGATCCAAGTTGGCCCTGATTCGCTTGCCTCCGATGCGAACCAGATCGTCAACATTTTACGCTCGAGAGGAGCTCGATTCAGACTCGTTCCCTAGCTCGTTGAGCTTGTGTTTTATTGAGCAGCAAGCGAGCGACCGAGTGTTTGTTAGTTCTTCGAGGGGATTGTTATTGCTGCCGCTGCCGCCGCCATTGCACCCTGCGAGCATCGCGGAGCAGCGTTGATCACAATGATTTTTTGAGGGACTCCCGTTCGGAAAGGTGAAACCTCACAGGGATGGATGAGTGGACGCACCGAGGGACACACAAACGAACCAGCCAAAGAACTAACCGAACTGATTGGATGACGCGTTTATTGAGAGCTCGACAGCTCAACAAAGGCCGAGGCGTTGACATGTTGCCACTTGTAACGAGATCAACTCGAACATAACACCACTGTGGCGCCGAGTCATGCAAAGGGTGTGCTTTTTTAAAGGTTTTTGTTGCTCTTCCATTGACTCCGCCGAGTATGACAGCGAATTCGAGCAGAAATCCCCACCTTGGGGTTTGGATCTCTCCCAATGAGCTCGATTTCCCGCTCGTGTTTCCGATCAGCCTCGTGATTGTGCGTTATTCCGCTCTGGGAGAAAACGTACCGGTGGGGTATTTGACCGCTCCGTCTGGTTGCGGTACGCAGAGCCTAAAAATCGTCCCGAATGCAAAACGAGCTGACGTGATCCTAGCGTTTCTCAGCGGTAAAAAATCTAAACCTATTAGAGAAGAGACAGCAGAACAAAATGTGCGAACGGGACCTCTCCGGTACCGCCTAATTGCCTCGTCGCCAGTCAGGGCATGTCCCGTTTTTCCTCTTGAGCTGGTGAGGAAAGCTTCCGATGTCCGTCAAAGACCTCGTCAATAATGTATTGCCTGCTAATTAGAGCAGTGTAGGGCAGGCGGACGAGCCGGCGAGCGGGCGGGCAGGCAGGCCGACCGGCAGACAGTCGACGCTAGTCGGCGACTATATGGAGCGAGCTGGAGAAGCTGTTCGACTCGGAGCGAGCCGGTCAACCCTAGTGCCTATTAGAATAATGACCGACGTGAACAAGAGATGCATGGAGATGGAAACTCCGAGCGGAGAAGGAGCAACATAGACTGCTACCGTAGTCGAGGGAGGCTACGATAGGGCTGCGGCGGAAGGCTAAACAAAGCGGAGGCAAACTAACCCTAGAGCTCGAGTTCGGCCTGACAGCGAGTCGAGTCTCTGATCTCCATTCAAGATTGATTGAGTGATTGATTGCTTGCTCGGTCGGTCGGTCATACGGTCAAACCGAGCATGTGGATGATTTGGTACCCAAGCTCAGCTGACTGATAGGTGGAACCTGTTACACCCAACATTCTCCTTCGCATCGATTGGTTTCAGCTCGAGTTTCCATTTGATCTTGGAGCGTGCTTATCACTCCCAGCGAGTCCTTGATGCAAAGCTGGCAGGGCTGACGAACGACCGAGCGAAAATATCAGCGATGGAAATCAGAACTTTGCTCAACGTCCCTCGACGAGACAGATTGGCATGAATCGATTTTGTCGGAGCACACTTGCAACGATCTTGAAAACGATTAATTTTGAGCCTCCCCTCCCCACTCCCACCCGAAAGCAGACGAACGGACTGACTGGGTGACTCCAAGGAGTAGGTACCTTCCTATTACATGCATTCAAACGAGCGTGCATGCACGCATGCATGAAGCGAGCGGGCACGGTGCCAGAGAGCGGATCTCTCTTTCAACGATGAACAAGGAGACGGTGAACAGATTGTAAAAAGGAGCGCCTAACCTGATCGATGTTATGGCACTTTGGGGAATCAACTTAACGAGTGTAAATTTCACATCGAGAGAGAGAGAGATCGACCCGACCGACCAGTGAGGCGGCCGGTCGCTGCCGCCTACTAGAAACTACTAGAGGCCACGCGGAACGGCATTGCAGCTCGTATCCTGATGTGACGATTGTATTAACCCGTTCCTCCCATCTGAGCTGTTTCGGCAGCGAGATTTCGAAGAGCACCTGGATCGACAATGACTTACACACTCATGCGCAGTCGTGTAAACTCGAGCGGGAGTCGACACATAACAAGTTCAATCATTAATTCTTCTCCCCTGCACGGCGCGGACTCCTTTCGTCTCGATCATCAGAGCGATTGGATTCAAGTGTCGTCGCTCAAGGGAAATCGCTCGGCTTGGATTCAATAAACGGTAGACTGACGACGACGCCGCCGTCCCCTGTTGCCCGATTTATACCCAGCTCGTGGTCTATCTCTGATCGATCAGCTGATCTCTGTGATCTGCAGTCGACGATGGGCTCGTGACTCGTGACCGATTCCACTACTTCTATGGCTGATCTCGACTTCCCTCGGTATGGGATCCCGAGGAGTCGCGCGCCGACAGAAGGGTCGTGGATGAATACGAGTATTTCGCAACAGAGGCGAACACGGAGTGAATACTTTGTCCATACCCGATCGCACTCGCTGAGCCGTCCCGCTTCCCTTCTTCATCGGTGCAAGCAGTAGGAATCATCATCGGACAAAGTTGAACTCTAAGCCAATAAAGAGACAGTGATGGGACGCGAGGGCGGTTGGGAATCCTATGCGGCTTTAAATGGGGTGATGACGATACGAGATGCATGAGGTCTCTATCATCGAGAGGGACAAATTGGTGGTCCTGTTGCGCCACAGCGGTGCCGGCAGTAGAAAAGGGAGTCGTTCTCAATCTAACAGCGGGAATCTTCCCATTATCCTCTATTCACAGTGTACACCGTTCTGCCGCGAGGAAGATCACCGACTGACTGGCTGCCCGACCGGTCGGTCGAAAGACTTGGCCGCGGCGGGCGGGTGCCCGAGCGCGCTCGGGGAGGGCGTACACAACAGTGATTATAAAAATTTAATGCACCTTCTATCATGACACAAAGAGAGAGAAAGACAGCGGGTACATCAATCAAGCTAAGAAGCCGGTTTGAGGCTATGTATACGGAAACATATGATTTGTTTAAGAGCCGTCCAGCACCGGGCTCTCGTCTGGAGGGGGTCGATGCATAGATAGGCAGAGTGAATGAGTGGGGGAGTGACCGGCTGGCGAACTGACTTTTTGCTCGCGGCAAGCGCATCCATAGAATATGCTAAGAGGGTTGGTCATGAATTTCCTAAATGAGGGATCCGATTAAGAGCTCTGTCCCTGAAGTCCCATGGTCTTGACACTTTACCGACGGCAACTCTTCCTCGGAATGCGGAAGCGTGGAAAGGACTCGACGATTTCAGACTACGCTCAAATGCACCTTTCACAACTTCAAGCGGCGCTTCATGCACCTCACACACTCGCTCTGTCGAGTGACCCAGTCTTACGTGTGCTCTTATCAAAATGTCAGGTTACCGAGGGAGATCTGCAGCCGGGTCGGTAGCGGTTGCCATCGCCTCCCCCGATAGAGTTGGGCGTCAGGTGATAATCGGCTCGTGTTAATTACTCTTCTACAGCTCGACGGGGTCTTTCCTCGGTCCTCGCGTTCGTTCCTGACAGTTGCACTAATGCAGTGGATAATAGGCCCGCTCAACGGAACCACTCCTCTCCGCGGCCTCTATTTCGGAGCCACTCGACCTGATGAAGAGTTCCGGCATCGAAAGTCGAACGGACCGACGATGGAGGGACGGTTTGAATGACAGTTAGAGTCAAACCTTTACCGGCTCCATCCTACACCCATCTCCCCTGGAGCCCATTCTCCTGAAATGCAGTTGAATGTTTCCGAATTTTGGTGGTACCGATGCCCGACTGCCCCACTCGACGTGTCGCAGTGACGGCGCCGAATCTCAGAGACTCGGGAGCTTGGAACTTGGGCTGCTTGGAGAATCCTCCGGCGAATATCATGAGAATGTTCGAGGACGGATCAATACTATTCCCGTGAACGCCTCCGACCGGGAACAGCCACTCCGGTATTGATTCTCTCTGCTACCCATGATCCTGAAGCTCTGCGTCCTTTCGCTTTCGAGACGAGCCTATTTGTTTTATTTGGTGGATGTTATACGGATGGTTTGCCCGATTGAACGGGGGTCTTCGGAATGAACATAAATCCGAGGAGTCGCTGTAGCCTTCCGTACCCGAGCAATATCGCTAAAAGTATTCTCTCGTCTATTCGGTCTGAGCCAAGTCTGGCCAAAAGCGATCCGAGGTAAGCTGATGCGGGTCGGATCTAGCTCACAGCGGCCGAGTTGGGCCCGAGCTTCGATAGCTCCTCAATGCAGGAGTAATCCGAGAGGCCGGAAAACGCAGAAATGTTTCGCAACTCATTCCAAGCGAATAGGAACTGTTTCCGGCGCGGCATTTGAGACAAAATGCGGAAATACCTCATTGTTTCGGATGTTGCGGCCAAACTCGCTTTTGGCTAACTTTGGAGAAGCACTTAAGCGACTCGCAACCCGAGATCGACAGCAGAGTGATTGGTCGTCATATCAGTCCTACTCGCTCCCATTCACCCCAAGAACGACTTCGACTATGTCGACGAGCAACGAAGCTCAGAGGATGTTACCTGAACTCTCGATTCGCTGACTCAACAAAGAAGTACATGATTTTCTGCCAGACGACCTGGACGAGGGGTGGCTGCTGGGAGGGGAGACAAGAGAGTGAGACCAACTTTCGTTCCCCATTGTCGACCAAGCCAGAGGAGGCAGCGGCAGCTTTAACAAACTCAATCTCTCACCGATCTGTAGCGTTCTGATCGAGTGACTGCGAGGAAACTATGAACTCACTTTTAATTTGCTATGATTGCAGCTTCATTTTCGTCCCCCTCTCTATCGACTACCAGACCTCGCTATCGTCTCTCCTTGATTGTTCAGCCTCAGGTCGAACCGGAGAGTACTTGCGGTTGAAGTTATCTCTCGAATGTTTCTCTTGCGACCCCCGGGAATATTACTTCTCCTTGGGTTCCACCAGTACTCGCGAGGCAGCAACGATTGAGCTCCGAATTCATAGTTCCAGAGTGAGAAACGGCGGCTCGAGCAGGACTTTCCGAGATCTGAAGGATTCCGGGGAGTTTCATGTGGAGGAATCATTCACGATGACTGCGCGTAGATCCGTCATGTATGAGTTCTCTGTCGAGGATCGACACGATAATGTCTGCCGATGAGAGCTCAGTATCTCATTCGATCCCACTTCCCGATTTTTCCCTCGTTCGAACAGAAGACAGATTGATTTGTGCTCCTAATTAAATCGCGGACTCTGCGCCCGACCGGTCAGAGGCAAAAATTTTGGCGCGGGGGAGGAAATTCGATGCTGATTCATTCTCATTAGGAGAATTTAAGATCTGAGCTAGACTCGGCGGGGCATAATTTCGCGATGCGCTCGCCGGAGCCGCCACATTATCCGCAGTTGCGCGACACGATCGAGTCTGACTGACTGCTGCTGCTGCTGCTGAATATCTTGCTTGAACTATTCGAACGACTCTTAGCCATCACACGGTTGATCAGAGGCCGGAGCAACTGGATGGTCCCCTATCCCTATCAAACGGATAGCTCCCGGAAGAGTAAACGGGAGCAGAGCTGGAGAGCGAGCGATTTTTTCCGTGGGTCGACTCTCATTGCGCCAGAGGAGAGCAAAGCAGTCAGTCATCGGTCGCAGCATGTAACCCTCCCCGCTCTGGCTCTGGGTTGACAGTTGCCGTCGTCGACGACGACGTCTTTCAAAGCCTCTTTGAAGTCTGATGAGTTGCGATGAAAAGCTTCATTTAATGCTCAATTCCAAAGCTAACTCGAGGTAATTGAGTCGTCGGAGTTTACCGTGGCTGGCGGCGGGGAGGCGGGACAACTGACTCGGCCGCGGCGGGCGAGTGAGCCAAACCGAGTCAAGAGGGCCTTCTCGTAAGCTATCTCTCCATCCATCCATCCATCTAAATATTTCTCCGTCTGTCGCTCGTCTGCATTTTGTGCAGGAGTGCGGTCGGGGAGTCGGGAGTAGCGACCCCTAGAGTCCAGCGGCAGCGACTGTAAACAGATCAGCGGGGAGAGTTCAATAAAGCAACGATAGCTACGCAAAAGCGTATGTTTGCTGCGTCGGATGAAAAGAGCTCTTCTCTGGACTTGTCGTAATTAGCGACTTGGAGCAACCGCCGTTTGAAGATGATGAACAACACGCCTGTCGCTTGAGCGAGTACAACTTGAGACTGAAAGCATCGGTTTGACGACGACGACGACGTACGGCAACTGATCGTGCTCAGATTCGTCTGAATCCGAAGACCCTGCGGAGGGATGTCATCCATGAAGTTTCGACCTCTCGCCGGGAACGGACTCTATAACGAAGCAGACGAGGCGAACCTCAAGATCAGCTCCGAGGTGGAAATGATGCAATGCGTAGCATATTTTTTGTCTGAGCAGTTCTGAAGATTTCCTGTATGACCTCAGCCGAGTACTCGAGTGACGGAGTCTCTGGAGACTCCGGACGGACAGAACGAAGAAGCCATCAAAGTTTCAAACTCACGCTCGCCTTCACCTGAATGAGACTCCAGGCCCGAGAGAGCCGCTGGCTGTTTCATCGGATTGTGCTCGTCATGTTGAGACCGCCGGGTGCATGGACGGCGATTCTTTGCTTTTCCGACTGTTTGACTTGTTTCTCGCCCCAACCCAAGTGTACATTTTCTGCTCAGTAGCGCAGTCTGCGGTTTTTGTCTCGAAGCCCTGCTTTGGCTAGGTGACCCGCGATCGTGAGTGCCGCAATGAGATCATATACTTACTCAATTCAGCTCCGCACAAACTCGTTAGGTCGTGCTCGTAATATGCGAATAAGAACGAAGGCGATCCAAGCGCCGTCACATCACTCAATAGGGCAATCCTCGCATGGACCACACTTGAGTGCAATGATTGACAGCCGTGAAACTCTGGAGACGTCTGTGGCGAAGCCGTGCCGCCTGAGTGCTCGTTAAAAAGCCTTTGTCATTTGTTCCCTCGTTGTGGATCTCGGGGGACCGGATGTCTCAATCCACTCGTCAGCGCTCCGAGCCGAGAGCCAATCTCGAGCCTCGCTGTCGCTTCGAAAACCGCGTGAATAAATGCCTGTCTATCCATGTTCAATGTGGCAACTCGATACCGGGTGCTTGCTCAAGAAACAAATAAACAACCAACTTACCAAATCGCTCTTCGAATGGAGGAAACAGCGAGCACTCCTAGTTGGAGTCGTCAAACAAGACGAAATGACTGAGGAGGAATAGTTTTCCCCTCGATTTCCAGCTCGGCATCTTCGTCCCACCCCTCACAGGGTCGCATCTCCGGGAGAGAGGTGGCTACCTTTCATATCGAATGATACCTCGAGAATAGCCGCCCCATACGGCTGAAGGCGACCATTTTCAGGACGTCAACTCATCCGCTCCGGGGACGCAGGGGGCGGGGAGAACCCGCGTCGAACATCCCACATCGAATCACAGAGCTTACGACTACTGCACGGGCAAGGAAAGGAAAAAATGAAGACATCCTGCCTGAGGCAAACGCGTTGACGCGAGGCAAGCAGGGCGACGAAGTAAACTCTCTCTCCTCCGAGAGCAAAGCCCAAAAAAGCTCTCAACGAGCAGGAAAGAGATCTGAAAATCGCGTTTGACCAGGATTCGCTGCCTCCATTCCAGCATCCCAAAAGCCTCGTCCTACATCAAACGGACGCGGGACATCCAGGGAAGACATCGACCACGGGTTTTATGGCGTGCTTCAGTCCGCTCACCTCTTCCACTGTGCGAAAGATAGAGTAGAAAGTGTGACTTGTCCACATCGCATCGCCGCTATAGATGAGGTTATCTTCACGGCTTAATCTTGTTGCTCCCACCGCTGACGGCGGTAAAGTATTGTTATGAAGCTATCGGATGTCGCCCGTTGGCCACCGAGCAGGCGGGCATAAGAAGACTCGGCGCTCAGCAGCCCGCTCCCTCCTCGCTGTTCGCTACACCAGGAAGGCGGTATGTCACGTCAAACGGCTCCCAAGGTGGACATCGTCACGTTGTATACCCGCCAGTTCCTAAGGTCCTCGGAGCGAATATATCTCGATCATAAACTTGGTTTCTGGCTGCGACCGAGTAACGCAAGTTTTATACCCAATCACGTCGTATCGGATCTATAAGTCTCCCATGGTAAGATTATCCTCGGAGGCGTTGGCATGGCTCTCTGTGAAACGCATCCCACGCGATTCAGATACCGATTTTTCGGTCTTTAATTACCCATACCGGGCCGCTTGGGGACGGGGGGGGGGGGGAGAATGGCTCACAGGCTCGTTCGCCAGGAGAGCTCCCGGAATGGATTCCCATATCGCAAGAAGCGGATTGCTGTATCTCGATATTCATACCGCCGTGGCTCCTGTCGCACACAGTACATAGAAGAGTGGGTGTTTATTTCCGCAGCACGCCTCTCGGTCACGTGTGGTACCAACGTGTCATTTCGATAGGCCGCTTGAGCCGACGAGAGTTGACACGTGCCGGCACAGTGTGCTCCATGTATGTATAAGCCAAATTAGTTCAACAAGCAAAGACATCTCGTGCAATGAGCCGAGCTCGATGAGAGCAGGAGAGGGGACGAGAAGAGATATTCCGAGGCGAAGAGCGTCAGAGGATCCAAGAAGGTGCGGATGACAATAACGTACATTGGCTAGCAAAATCTGACGGCCCGGTTCGTGACACAGTCTATTAAGCAGAGTCGCGTGAACGTAGGGAGGGGATCATATCAAGGAGAGCACTGTCCACCGAGGAACGAATCGAACGCTCCGGGATGCGGCTAAGTCTTTTAGGAGAGGGCAAAAAGGAAGAATTGCAACAATAGTCGATTCCGGCGAAACTCGAGTTGATTGTATCCACTACCCACCGGACGAGCGCTGAGTCGTCGTCGTTGCCGTCATCCACATAAGCGTCTGTGAGTTTCTCAGAGCGTACCTGGACACGAATAGCCCGGCGATCAAAACGAGGAACTTGTTCGCCTCGGGCGACGAGGCTTTTAGAGGATTTTGAGATTCCCGTCGAAGCGCTCGTCATAGGTGTTGGCGACGACGGCTGCGACGATGACGAGCGGCCTCCCTCGTACATGAGGATTACCATGAGATAATGTCAAGAATAGCTCATTCAAAAGCATAGCGATTTGCTGCATGCGATGCATCATTCACATACTCAGTCAGGAGTACCAAGACACAAGCGGCAGCTTCCGCCACCGGAGTGTGCATCGCTTCGAGCTGAGATTAATGTATCTCGACGATTGCTGTTCCAGGAGATGCCATCAAACGTGAAGTGTCGCCCGGCAGCAACAATTTCCAAAAACTCGAACGTCCTGCCTCAGCTGACAGCGCCAGAGCCTCATCGACTTCGAGTCCTGCTCCAAGTCAACACCTGCCCTCATCGGCAATGCTCCCCTCCTCAAGCACTTCTCCAGGTGCGATTCTACCCGCTCCGCAATTCCACAAATACGGTGACTAGCGTTCGATCGAGAACCCGGGCGAGAGTTTCTAACCTAACAGTAGAATTCGGGTTCTAATCCCGCTTCTTTTCCTTGAATTTCCAGGTTCTCCGATGAGCCGTCCCGGAGGCAGTCTCTTTCACCACCCTGGACTTTCTGTCGGCAACACTCATTCGCATCAGCTCGACTCCGATTGTGATGACGACGACGTGAAAGATGATTCTCGCATCGACGACAAAAATTCTCAGCGACGGAAGAAAAAGACCAGGACCGTATTCACCCGTAGTCAGGTTTTCCAACTCGAGTCCACGTTCGACTGTAAGCGCTACCTCTCGAGCAGCGAACGCGCGGGGCTCGCGGCTTCTCTCCACCTCACCGAGACCCAAGTGAAGATCTGGTTCCAGAATAGACGGAATAAATGGAAGCGCCAATTGGCTGCTGAGATCGAAGCCAACAGCATGGCACAGCATGCCGCCGCGGCCGCGCACGGAATAGTCCGAGTGCCGATCCTCTACCACGAAGGTGGCTCAAGCTCCTCCTCGTCGCCCACCGGAGTGACCACGACTGTATCAACCGCAGCTTCTGTGCTCCCTCTGGGACCATCAGAGGCTACGGTTTCGTCCAGTGTCCAAATTAACCGCAGTTCACCTATTGCTCGACCGACAGCTACTTCGCCCTCTTCCCAAACAACCGCACCGGCTTTGACAGCTCTCGGAAGCGCTGCCGCCGCACTCGCAGCCGGGGCAGCGGTCTACCCGGCTTCGTTGTATTATCATCAGTTCGCGCAAGGTCCCGGTGCTGCTGGTTCCCCGTCAACTTCGCCCGGATCTCTGAGACCTTCTCAGTTGTCCGGACTCGTGTAGAGAAGTAGGTTCGCTGTGTTTCAATGAGGTCGGGGGAGCTATGGATGAAATGATCGATCGGGCGAATCGAGAGACCGGGGAACGGAGGAGCGTAATAATGCGGAAGGGCGCGTGTTGTACTCAAACCCAAGAAGGAATCATATCACTAGATTCATGCGACGGCAACAGATTCCGGATGTCGTTCTAGGTAGTCGGAAAGGAAATTCAGGGTAGACTCAAACTGAAAAATGCAATTCTTTAGGTACGAGGACGGTCGACCGAATGCGTGGTAGGTATCAAATACGGAAAGACGTTCGGGTCGGAGATAGGAACAGAAGCGAGGAGCGGGGAGCAAACACCGTTAAGTAAGGCGATACTCACTTAGATGGAAGTATACACCTATCATGATAGACATTCATCGGGGGACGAGGCATTCCACTACGAGCATTTATAGAGGCCACGAAGGAGCTCCCCAACGGCACTCTCGGTGCCGTCCGGACGGATGCTCCCGAGCCGGAAAGTGAAGACATCGGAGGCGCCTCCAAACACCGGGACTAAATACTAATGTCATTGACTGCAGTACATTCAGATGAGTATTGATGTGTAGTATTTGCGTGTCAGGAAAAAGTTTAGAAATGCAGCCGATTATCCGCGGAAAATCGACAATTGTACAGAGCTCCTATTGAATGAATTCCGGGAATGGTAAGTGGTCGTGTGATTCACTGTGATTTGTGTTATGTACAGTTTCAAGGTAATCAGTACGACCAAGTTAAACCAAACGAAATGTAAGCGACGAATCATTTCCAGCGAATAAACAACCCATGCTCACTCTGATACGGCTGTTTTCCGCCTAGGTGAATTCCTTCGGAGCAGAATCTGCGAGCACCTGACTGAGAACGATGTTTCTTCGTTCAAGCGTTTCTTTCAGAAATCCCACGACCCTATCTGGACGCCGCTTGCGGGCTCACTGTATCTATGGAGCCGATCGGGGGCGAAGCTTCGAACACCGCGCACCGAGGTATACCACCGCGCGAACAAACGACCGCAGACACATGAACGTTATATTGTTACCAGGGGAAAATTAGATCGAGAGCAGCCGTAGTATATAGCGGCCGATGCTGAGTGAGGAGAGGTTGGAGGCTTAAGCCCGTAAGCTCCTCTCGGAGCGCGGTTACTTCGTTGAGCCGAGAATTATTACGTCGGGGATTTCCAAATCATCTCAGAGAGTGAGTGAGTGAGAAGGCAAGCGAGAAGAAGAGATATATACCGTGCGCAGTGGATCCACCAGCTTAACTATCCACATTACTGGCTTCCGATAGTTGGATGACCGCACTGTCGTGTCGGCCGCTGGCCCGTCGTCAGACTGTCAACCGAGGACTCACCGCGGCGGCTCGCCGACCTTTTCTTATCGAGCTCGCCAACCTTCTCTTATCGAGCCCGCAGTCGCACCCGAGATCTCAGGGACTTCTCTCCAATTATCATAATAATCTTAATATCATAATTATAATCATATGCGTTCTCGATCGATTGAGAAGTGTTCGGATTATCGGCTCGGCGGATCAGAGGTCGCCATCGATCCATTGTCTCGAGAGCCCCCGAGTTAGAAGCGTCGAACAACGATAATAATTATAAAGAAAAGTGGGATATCTCGTGCATCTGGAGATCGTGACCCACTGGGATGACGGCATCCGATACGCCATCCCGGTCCAGGAGTTGGTCCCCAATGTGACATCTGATTATTTCTTCTTGTTGATTATTCCTCCGCGAAATAGCTGGCTTGCGCAAGTGAGAAAGCATCAAAGCGTGAAAAGCAGCGGTGGGGACGACTCGCCTCTTGGGAACATAATGCGGCCAAGACACGGGACTACCACCCTTCGTATCCATCCCATTCGGCACTCTGAGCGAATCTCGTGGAATCGTCGTCGTTCCATTCAAAGAATGGGCATTTTTTCCGCGACAGCGGAAATAAAGTTTCAAAACTCATTTCTCCATAGCATATCCGAGACTCGGAGCAGCATCCGAGGATCCAAGTCGAATCGGATGATTGGAAACTCAGCGTAATAGGCATTCTTCGAATATTGCGGCGTATAGCGGGCGCGTTCTCCCGTGACATCAACAAGTTCCACGCTTCGGCTCGGCCGACGGCGAAGAATATTGTAGGGGACACGGACGGGGAGATATCATAACGGAGGGGATCGTGCCGAACAACGTGCATGCGATCACTTCTTATCGACAGATCCCACTTCATTTTTTCTGATCTATTCTCTCGGTCGTCGTGTCTGACACATCTGTTTCCCCGAACGCTCGACGATACAACGACCGCACAGCCTATTTTTGTGCGATGCTCGGGAAAAGTCGATTCCCAGCTTATATCGTTCACGATTCGAACTCGAATTGACTATATGCGGCCGCCACGGCTTGCTAGAGTCCACGCCAAGGTGAATTCCGTCCGTTCTCGGATTGAGCAGGGGAATCACTCAAAAGAACTTCATTGCTGACGTGCCCGAAGTAAATATGCCTCTTGATAATCTCGACGTCTCCGGACCGCCGGGGAAATTCGGAGCTTCCAAAGTTCGATCATCAAAGCGGCACATTCTCGAGGAGCGGAAGTTCCCGGCTCGATCCTCCTCGTGTTTTCTCCGGGCACCGAGTTTTGTGTTGCGTCTCGGCTGAGCGTGCAGCTGCTATGGGCCACTTTGTCTTATCGCGCCTTCTCGCTGGCTCGATAAACAAGAGTGTCGTCTTGTTCCCTTTGACAAATTGACCGAGCTATATCGACACAGCAATAACTTTAAGCGACCACACGGATCCATCCATCCCTCCTCAGACGTCCCGTGCGCTATAGGCGACTTCGACGCTTAGCACAGTTCGAGGTGCGAGCGACAAACATTGTCGATGTCAGTGTTTGTGGCTCTCGGATATTCGCCGTTTTCGAACAGGACCTCTGGAAATTCGCAAGAAATTCGCTCAGTCGACCGTTGTGGTTGGCGACTTGCACTCCGCGGAGATTCGGCCGGAAGAGCATCTCCGTCCCATGAGAAAAAGGAGGCCCAGGAAAACTCAGTCAGCCCCTCAGTCGGTAGCTTGTTGGGTTGTTGAGACGGGGAGAAGAGGCACAACCTGCAAGCTTGGCATCCCGAAAGTAACACTCTACTGAATTCTGCCAGCGAATCCAGGATGTCGACTAAATGTGGCCATAAATTCAAAGGGTTGCTGCTTGTACAGTCTGCGCGGTAATGGCCCAAAACATTTAACAGGTAAGAGCTTAGCTCCTCCTGCTCGCTCACGCGGCCAGATACTCCAGCTGCAATCTTGTCGGCAACCCTCTCGTTCTGTCGTTCGTTCGCCTCGAGTGAGTGGAGAGATGTCGACGAGTCACTCTGGAGCGAGTCTCGTCTTCGCAGAGAGATGTGGGGAGTGGCAACACCGAACTTAAATGTACTCCGGAGAATGATGCTGCCCTTGGATGACTCCTGACGCCACCTGATTACCGCTGAGCTCATTCTTGGCAGCAAGCTAGCGGAACTGTCAACTAAGTGAGCGAACATCAACACTCGATGAATTCTCGAGGGACAAATAATGAGGCGGGTATGGAAGGAACAGGCACGAGAGTCAGGAATCGATAGCAAGACGAGACTCTGCTGCGACCACTGTCTATTCATTATCGCAAACGCTTTGAGAGCAGTCTCTCTTAGAGAATCGAGAGACGCCTTCCGAACTAGCCTGATGAGGCCGTTCAAGCTTTACGTGATTCGTGATTCAGGCGAAACCCTGAATTCCAGCTGAATTCTCCGGGAGACATCTTCCAATTTGGGAAGAGTCATCTTGCAATGAGGTCGCTCCAGCCGCCGGAACCCCTTCCTGAAGGTTGGAAGTTCGAAAAATCGGGGAGCTTTTCAGGGATCGGCTCTCGCTGTCAATAGAACGGCCAACATTATCATCACAATAATGAAACGTCATATCGATATCTCACAGATTTAATGATCGTGATTCGCCCGGTGTTCCGAAATGCTGCCTCCGTCCGAGATTGAATCCGAGCTCCCCTCCGAACAGCCATCGGGAATCATTGTGAGCTCGTTTAGAGCAGCAAACGAGGAGTCAACTGATCGGCAAGAAGTGCAACAAATGATTTGACGAGCAGGAGCTCTTTTGTGTCCGAAATAGGCAGCAGTAGACAAATGTTGCTTTTTTCCTTTGTCGCGATTGACAAAAACCTGGGCGCCCAACTCCGTCCCCATCGAAAAGCTTTTAAGTCTCTGAATCGGCCCGCGAGTCCGCTCGATGGCAGCCACCAAGCTCGCAGGCGACCGACCGAGCCTGAAACAGCGACGTTATCTCAAATTTCAAATCAAATCGCTTCAATTCTTAAAATCCGGGACGGCTAAAGGAGCTAAAAACGAAGGGAATACACGAGAGCTTGCGAGGGGAGGAGAAAGAGCAGACGAAGAGAAACTTTTTAGAAATTCGGCCGTGCTGTTACACTCATCGATGGCCGTGCTGTGAGATATGAACAGATTTGCTGTGCGATCGGAAGGACGAGTTGATAATCGGATTCGTCTGCCCGAATCCTACCCGCACATCGAGAGCAGAGAAGATAGCTCGTGATCAGATCGAATCAGAACACAACTCCGCCGTCTCAAGACTGGTGACTCTGTCGGGTCCGCGCCATGGTCGGAGCCACTCCGACCAAGCTGATGAATAGTATCATATTATGTTATTCCATCGTACATCTTTCTATTCATTTTATCTCCTATATTATATCAGTAATAATCGAAATAGATTATTACCCTTTTTAAATCGTCCTTCATGCAATCCGAGGAACCATTCGGATGGCGAGTTCTCGGAGGATTCTCGCGACCCGAGAAGATCCCTGGCATATGGATAAACCGAAGAGCACGCCGAATTATCGCCATGGCCTGGTTCTGGATTGAGCTTCTGTGGCGACACCAAAGAGTAAAATTTTCATTATAGAAGCCGACTACAGAAACGCCAATTACGCGATCAGCTGTACACAGAACTCG